CCTGGCCCGTGCCCTGCAGTCCCAGGCACTTTGCAGTCCCGGCAGCGGCTCGAGCCCCCTGTAAGCAGGGGCGCAGCCTCTGTGGCCGCCGCTTTGCATGCCCAGTTCCACTTGCCCAGAGTGCCCGACTCCGAGCCCAGCACCAGCGCCGGCTGCGACTCCACGTGTGGCAGCACCGGAGCACCGATTGGGTAAGAGAAGCCGATCTGTGAGGTTATTTTCGGGGGCGGGGGGGTGGTGGGAGGGCAGTCGCGGTCCGCGTGGTGCCATTGCTGGCCCTTGCCGGGGACCGTCATCGCTCTCAGACCTGACGGCACTCTCCTGCCCTTGCAGCACGTGGTGGCGGAGAAGGGAGAAACATCCACCGCGAGCAGAAATCCGTGCAAGGTAAGAGTTAGCAGGAGGAATAGCGGAAGATGTCTGGCCAGCAAGTGGAAGAAAGAGAAGCGCGCTCTGGGCAAAGCGCCGCTGTGATGGGCGGAGCGGCTGCCTGAGGCAAAGGGGAGCGCAAGTCGGCGCTGCCTCAGCGAGAAGCGGATCGACCCGGGGCTGAGGGATTGGAGCCATCTTGGGGGGGGGATCAAAGCTGCTGCGGGGTGGGGGGCCAGTGCCGTCGCCTAAGAGGGGGACTGGAGCTGAGTGGGGAGGGACCGCCATCGCCTCAGGGGCTGAGGAGGGTCCAGGCCCCGCTGGACGCTGCCAGGAGCCCATTGCAGACGAGTGCCCGTCACAGTCTTCCCTGCATGAAGCGCTGGAGCACCGACTGGGTGTGAAAAGCAGATCTGCGATGTTTTTTCGCGGGGTGGGTGGTGGGAGGGCGGCCGTGGTTCGGGTGGTGCTGTGGCCAGCTCTCGCCAGGGACCAGCATCGCTCTCGGACCTGACGGCATCCTTCTGCCCTTGCAGCAGGCAGCGGAGCAGTGTGGAGGTCTCCGTCCTGTACCACTGCAGGCCGAGAGTGAGCGGGAGGAGCAGCGGAGGAAGTCTGGGCAGCAAGAGGAGGAAAGAGAAGGGCGCTCTGGGCAAAGGGACCTCCCTATCACCGGGACTGTGGTCGCACCAGCGTGTCGCCAGGCCATTTGGTGCCCTGGCCGGCTTTGTGCCAGGTGACCCCCCCTGTAAGCAGGGCTTGGGTCTTTGGGTTTTTGCCGGCCTTTTGCCACGTCACCCCATGGTCAGGCTGCCGGGCAGGTGGCAACCCTCTAAGGGGGATGAGCAGCACCGTCTCCGTGGCCGGGGCGGGACACGGAGCTCCTAAAGCGTGCCGTGGTGGTGAGCCGCAGCCAGGCCAGCCGGCCCGTAACTTGGGCGCAGGGGCGAGCCTGGAGCTCCACGGGGCTTGTTGAGTGGGCCAAGCCCGGGGGAAAGCCCTATAAGCAGGGCCGTGAGCATGGCCTGTGCTCAGCGGGAGGTGCTGGGAGGGACCCCCTGTGAGCAGGCAGGTGTCCCTGGCCCCGGCCTTTCAGAGGCGCGGGGCTGAGACGTGAGGGGTTGGGCGTGCCCTGGCCCTGGCCCTCTTTCTCTCTGCTCTCAGTGCTAGGAGCAGTTTGGGAGGAAGAGAGAGAGGCCTGGGGGGAGGCTGGGAGGAAACAGTGCCTGCGAGCCGGGCACGGTCCCAGCCTGGGTAGCCCTGGCATTGCTTTGAGCTGTGCCAGTGCCCTGGCAGCAGGGCAGGGGCCTCTGCTCTGTCCTCCGGATGGGGGAGCTGGCGATTGGCTGCGCCTTCCTTCCGAGCAGCAGCTCGTGGAGAAGCAAGACGAGGCATCGTGAAGGAGCTGCGAGGCCAGAGCGAGGGAGAGGAGGAGCGGCGGGCTGAAGAGAGGGCTGGGGGGAGAGGAGGGAGCTCAGGGCAAAGGGGCTTCCCCACGGCCCCGTTGCCGGCACCTTTGGTGTCCTGGCCGGCGCTGCGCCGGGTGACCTCCCTGTAAGCAGGGCTCGGGTCTCTGGCCTTTTGCCCCCTTGCCCCGACGATTTGGCTGCCGATAGAGAGGGGCAGCCCTGTAAGGAGAGCGAGCGGCACCGTCCCCGCGCCGAGGGGGAAACGGGGCTGTCTGGCCCCCACGCCCGCCCTGTAGTCAGGGGAGGGCTGTTTCCCCGGCCCCGGCGGCTTTCCGCCTGCTGGCGGCCTTGCCAGCGTGACCCCCTGGAGTCGGGGCGCGTCACGGCACTTGTCCCTCGGTCCCCCGCAAAGCCCCGTGGCACGTTGAGTCCCTCTGGGCTCCGTGCGTCCGCGGGGGCAGGTCCCAGGCTCTGCTCTCCTGCTTGCGGGAGGGGACGGCTCCCCAGACATTGGCTGCACAAAGCTCGCTCTCTCTTCTGGGAAGTTTTCTTTCCCCCTGTCCGTGTGCCTGCCTGTGTCCGCGTCGGTGCGAGTGTGTGAGTGCAGGAGCTTCTTGTTTAGGCCCCTGTTGAAATCGCTGCAGCGTACTTAGCTTAAACTTCCCGGGAGGGAAAGAGGGGCTCTGTGCAGCAACAGGGGGGTCGGTCCCCGCTGAGCCCGCGAGCGGAGGGCGAGTCCCGGCTCGCCCCCCCTTTCCAAGGACAGAGCCAAGCCGCGTGGTCGTAGCACGGCCGACGCGTGACCCGCCCGCAGTCTGGGCCTGGGTCACTGCCTGGGTGGCTGCCTGTCCTGCTGGTGACCTGCCAGCGTGCCGGCCCCGTACTCGGGGCGAGTGCCATGAGCCGTGGAGCCCTCTGACCCCAGGAGCAGCCCGACGGCCCTGTAAGCAGGGTTGGGCCCGTTCCCCGCCCTCGCAGGAGGACTGGGTAGCGAGCGGGCGTCTGTGACCCCCGGCCTTCGAGGGCAAACGCTTGGCACTTGTGTCCCCTTCACCGAGAACCACAGTAGCCTCTAGAAACGTAGGGAACGGCCCTGAGCCAAGTACCTGCCCCAGAGTCCTCGAGACCCTCCCAGAATTGCCCAGGATGCTCTCGTCCCACAGCAGCCTTGGTGACAGGGAGGGCCCTTTGCCCACAGCACCTTTCTCTTTCCCCTGTTTCAGCGTGCCGCTCCTCCTCTCGCTTGCCCTCGCCTCGTAGTTTCTTCCGCAGACCACGGATGCCTCTTCCTTCTTTCTTCTCCGGGAGCTGGTGCCTGGAAGGAAGGCGCGGTCGGGCGCCAGCTCCTCTGCCTGGACGACGGGGAAACCGACCCCCTGCAGGACCTTCCCTCAGCGTGCTCCGGCCCCCGGCACTCCTTCCTCCCTCCCACCCCCTGCCCCGGGCCCCAGCCGCCTCAGACCCCATTTTCTCACCTGGTGGTGCCCTGCGGCCTGGAGGCTTAAAGCACAGAGGGAGAGGGGACCGGGGTACGGCAGGGCAGGTGGAGATTTAGGGTGACCGGTAGCACTGGTGGGCCCCAGCCGCCAGCCCCTTGCAACCGGCTGCTCCGCAGTGACGCGGCAGCTTCTCCCAAGCGATGAGAAACCCCCCACGGGAACTACTTCTGCCCCAGCCCCCAGAACCTTTTGGGAAAAGGCCACTGCTGCCGATTCACCTGCCTTCAGGGCAGACAGCGCCCAGCAATCTCGATAGTGCTTGGCTGGCGCCTTGTGTGGGGCGGCGGCCCTGTTAGTGGGGTGCGGGTCAGGGTGTCCCTGTATCGGAGAGGAGGGGCCTCGTTGGCCTCTGGGACCGGGGCTGCCCTGTAAGTCAGGGCCTGGCCCGTGCCCTGCAGTCCCAGGCACTTTGCAGTCCCGGCAGCGGCTCGAGCCCCCTGTAAGCAGGGTAGCAGCCTCTGTGGCCGCCGCTTTGCATGCCCAGTTCCACTTGCCCAGAGTGCCCGATTCCGAGCCCAGCTCCAGCACCGGCTGCGACTCCACGTGTGGCAGCACTGGAGCGCCGATTGGGTAAGAGAAGCCGATCTGTGAGGTTTTTTTGGGGGGGCGCGGGTATAGGAGTGTGTGAGGGCAGCCGGTGTTCAGGTGATGCTGTGGCCAGCTCTTACCCGGGACTGTAGTCGCTCTCAGACCTGACAGCTTCCTCCTGCTTTTGCAGCAGTTGGTCGTGGAGAAGAAGGGAGAGACCTCCACTGCGTGCAGAAGGACATGTGAGGCCAGAGCGAGCGGGAGTAGCGGTAATGGTCCGCCAAAGAGGCGAGAGAAAGCCCTCCTGGGCAGGGGATCTTCCTGTCACCTAGGCTGTGGTCGCCTCGAGCATCCCTGCCCCTTTGGGGATGTTTTCTTTGCCTCGTGAGCAGGTACTCGGCTCTTGGTAGTTCTCCAGTTTTAGAAACTGCTCCAATTCCACCTGACGATGACCTGACTTCCTGAAGTTTTCTCAAAACTCCTTTTTGTACTTGGATGTGGCTGCACCAGCTGTGGCGAGCGGGAGGGGTCTGCAGACACCCACCCGAAGTGCCCTTTGAGGCTGTGTGGGATGCCGGGGGAAGAGCAGTCGGGAGCAGGGATTTGGAGGTGGTTTCCTGTGCTCTGAGTGCTTCTCTTAACACCTGTACAGGGAAGGAAGGGGCTGGATCTCAGCCTCTGGAGGAGCATGTTCCTCTTCCCTGCCCCAAAAGGGCGTTTGTGCTCACCCTTTCCCTATCTGTTCAGTGCCAGGGATGCTCAATCAGATGCTTTCTCCACCTGCGTGTTCCCCATTTAGCTCCTTTCCTGCCCGACTCGCCTTTAACCGCTGCCAGCCACATGGCCCTGCGCGTGGGATTTTAACCTTCGGCAGCCACTGGAATGTTGGCTCTGTGTGTTGGTCCTGGCTGCTTGCAAGGGGACTCTCGGGGTGAAGTGCTAAGGCTTGAAAAATAGGGCCAAGCCAGAGTTGGCCTGTAGATGAGTCCTGTGTATTTTCTAACTGATAACCATTGTATTAACAGGTATTTTACTAAGTGATAACCAACCCCCTATTCCAATGTAAAAAGTGGAAGTATCGAAGCCTGAACAACAGGCTCTGAGCCGAAGCTGCTCACTCAGTATGTCATCGTTAGTGAAATATGTGTGGAAGACGTAGCTCTCTTGAATGTATATTTATCTGTCTTTGTGTGTGGATAAAATAACCGGGTCGTGGAGACCGTAGTCTGGCCTGACATGAGCCCTTGCACCTAGTCTGCCTGGGTAAGCAGAGGAACTCCCTTAGCTTCTCTCCTGAGCCCTGGCCAGGCTCTGGGGGAATCTAATGTGAGATTGAAACCAGATATTTCCGCTCCAGAGCAAGGTGCCAGCTCTTCTGGCTTGCTGATTTTGGAGTATGTAAGGGTGGACCCGCTCACAGCAACTTTGGAGGCCTCAGCTACGGGTGGATGCACCGCGTAGGATTTCCCACTTGCCGGGAAAGGCTCTGCAAACCCTCGCTGTAACCGGGGCTGCCCGCGGGTCTGGGTGATGGCAACGGGTGCAGGTGCTGAGGGATCTTTCTTAATCGCTGTTCCCTCTCTCTCAGGTAGTCAGGATTTGATGCATTACCCCGTTATTTGCCTATTTGTGTGAGTGCACTATTCTGTCTTTTCTTACTGCGTGTTTTCTGTGTTCTTCTGTTATTATTTAGCTATTTCTAATAAAATACGCCTGCTCCTTTCACTCTGCTGTCCGAGTTTGATATCCCTAATCAGCAGAACAGGGGGAGTTCAGGTGGCGCTTTCCAGAGCCGAGGTTGGTGTCGGAGCGATTTCTGTCGGTTTGGCTTTGGGCTGAGCTGCAGCCGCCGCGGCGCTAGTTCCTGGCAAGGGGCTGGACGTGGGAGCTTGTCAGGACCAGAGCTGCGGTAAATTTATTCAGACAGCTTGCTTGGGTTCTCCAGCTCCTAGCGTACGCTCCAGAAGAGTGGCTGAATGTGGACAGTTCATGGATTTATCTGTTTTTTGTTTTTTTTTTTTTTAAAAACTATTTCTGCTGTCACCAGGATTTGAAAAACTAAATTGTAAAATGTGAGTTTAGGAAAAATCTCTAACAATCTGTGTGCTTTTAATAGTTACTGTACTGGTCTCCCAGGGACTGAAGTTACACTATTTTGTCCTTAAAACAACTTTGCGCTCCCGTCTAGCGTTATCAAAGGCTTTTTGTTTTGTGGCCTGTTTCTGACTGGTGCTCTGTTACTATTCAGTAATTCCTCTCTTGATGCCTTGTCTGTTGCTTTTGTCTTTTCTCCATCTCTCTGTCTCTGTTTCCCCGCTTTTAGAATACCCCCCTCTTCTTTCTGTATGCATCAGGATTAGTTTTTGGCTCCAGGTCTCTTTTTTTCTGTCTCTGTCCCTGTTTCCCAATTCTTCCTTCTCTGCCCTGTCATATGTAGCTATGTGATTTGGTTTGTGTTCCTTCCCTGCCCTTTCCCTCCATCGTTTGCTGTCCTGACTCCCCATCGCTGTTGCCTTT